GTGGCCCTTCTACCGACGACTTAGACCCAATACCAAAACCTACCTATAGGTCTTTTCTGAGCTAGCTGGGTTGAGATCTTACTTGTTTTAGTGCAGCTTAATGCCGACCTAGACCCAGTAATATCTAAGCCTAGATCAGCCTGTTCGGACTGCCTTCTGGCTGGAACTTTTGACTGCAGCGGTGCAGTAGCATAGCAACTTGCGGATTTCAAGGTCTGTAGGCCCTCCGTTCCACTCACGGGCATGGGGATCCTGTGAAAGCACGGGCCTTCAAAAGCGGGTGAGAAATGATGTGGGATGTCGCTTGTGCACGTTGACTGGTGATTGCATGTAGGCCCTAGCTCTGATGATGGATAAAGCAGGATGCTGCACTAAGCGAGTCGTTTGGAGGCTTGACGGGGAGATCCCAGCTATGCGAAAAGCTCAAGTCCATGATCAGCTGTGGAGACACTGTGCTGCAGATCAGGCTGAAAACCGTGGCACTTACACATGTACTGTATCGTACAATATATACGTGTGTGTTCAGGCATGTATGTACATGCCTGCATGCCTCCATGCCTGCCAGGAATTATCCTATGCTGCTGCACGGAAGATTGCTGATGCTGCCGTCCAGGATGTCTTAGCTGTCTTAGCTGCAATAGGACATGTTCCCATTCGCATGATGGTTGTACGAATTGGAACTGGAATTGGAACCGAAGGAGATTCGCGGCCTCGGATGCCGACCCCGAGCTCCACTGTTGGATCTCGCGAGTGCTGGTGCTTTCGGTGCTCATGAGTCCAACATTGAGAGGGATGTTATGCGACGAGCTTTCAATGATGCAGCTGCTTCACAGCATGTATTACCACCGCGATCTAAGGGTAGTGTTGCTATCTCTATGCGGGTCTATGTTCGTTGCAATCCGAGGTGCCCATCCACTACGTTCCGGTCCCACTGCGGGTCCGCGATCCAGCCACCAAGAAGTATGGCAAGAAGATTAGGAGTCTTGATCGCATGCAGTTGCAATTGATCTTATACTACATCTAGATGTACGTATGCCATGCCATGTGCACAGTAGGCATGCTCAGCATTTTAAGTGTGAGGCTGATGCCCATGGTGTTACCTCATGATCTGCTGGCCTACTTGCACAACAAGTCTGGGGGGGAACACACACCTGCTGAAGAGTTGCGGGCCTTTTGGCAACATTTCCAGACTTGTACACATGAGAGCATCAAATGGCCGCATTGCTACGAAGATGACTGCACACCACTCGGCCTTCATGGCGACGATCTACGGTATACTGAAAGTGGCCAAAAGCTTCTTTGTGTTAGCTTAAACTTTCTTTTGGACGGTGCCCAAGAAAGATACCCCCTCTTTGTTGTCCGGATCGTGTCTCGGCCTAGTTAGTGGCTTTGGCAGTTATTACTGTTAGCCCTAAGCCCTATCTATAAACCCTAGCTAGGCCTAGCTATAACTACATAACCCTCAAGCCCTAAAAGCGCTAGGTAAGCCCCTAAAACCCGCACCATCCCAGGCACTGCATGCTGGCTTCGACACGAACGAGGCCTACATGAAACCGGTACTTTGGAAGCATGCAGTTACCGCATGTACAGATATGGCAGCAAGTATAGGAGATTCAATTTCGACTCGCATTGAACAACCAAGTTGGCATGCAGCTTGAACTATGCTCGATACGGTGTTTCGCCGCCTCGATTCTTGGAGCCCTGCCTGAACCCTGCCGATGTGGCAGAAGATATCCGAGCGAATGGATTTTCGAAAAGCTTTCCTCCAGCTGGACTGGTGGAAATCAGAGCCGACTGGAAGTTCATGAAAGAACTCTTCAATTTGAAAACCGGATACACCTCGGCCCAGATCTGTCACCACTGTTTCGCACATGATACGGACTACTGTTCTTTCCCGGCCGACTTGCACAACAAACCGATGCGAGATTTGCAATCCTTTATAAGCATCTGTGGGAAGGACAGTGCTGGGAATCGATGCGGCACGGAACCAATTTAGTACTCAAGATCTTTCGTTTTCAAGATGCATGTGCAGGTTCGGGGCTGCACATGGTACACATCCAAGGCAGCCTCTTGCTTGTCGAGGGGTTCGACCCTCGAATTTGCAAGTGGTGTAGCCTGCACACGTTGAACCTCGGTGTGGCTTTGTGGGCTTGCAGTTCGACGATCATTGAGCTCTTGCAGTTTGAGGCGGGTTAATTCCAACTCCCTCGCTTTTCGCAACATCGCGAGCATCATGTGCATCGCTCTATGCAGGACGTGTGGCCTGCAGTTGCTGGCACCCCGGCAAAAAACGTCCTGGATGTTCGGCTTCATGTGGCTTACACCGAATTTCAAGCATGGGCGAAACGGATGAAGATCGAGTCTGCTGCTGCAGTTTATCAGGCTTTTGTGGTGGTGAGATGTGCATGGATTTTTCGGTCAAGCGGTTGAGACCGCATCCGAGGCATTCGCAGCCTGAGTTTACTGCAAAGGGCCTTCGCGATCTGAAGACTGGTGTTGCCGAACTTTCTGCTAAGGGGCACAATGTCACTGGTCTAGGTCAGTATGTTGCTGTGAAATCTGCAGGTAGTCTATTTTGCTCGACTTTTGCAATTTCAACGACTGATCATGCTGAGGCTCGTGTGGTGGTCGGGTGGTTGAGCTACAAGGTTTGTTTGCTGCTGGGGGTCATGAAAAATGACCTCGCTGGGCCCGAGCTTGAGCACTTCAACAACATGGTGAAGTGTATGCACCCTGGGTTGCGATAATAAACAAGGCCATTTGCATGATTCAGTGCAAACGAACTAGCTTGGCAGGTATTGGTTGGGCGAATTTTTCAACCTCATGGAAAAGTTTCCTCGCTTCTTAGACTGGGATCAGCGACGAGCCTTGATCGAGGCGTGTGTGGCTTGTCTTAATATCAATCAGGAGCTATGCTCTATGCAAGTCCATGATCCCGTCATGATTCATGATTGATCAAGGACAAATGCTGTGCACCCTATGCTATGCTTGCCCAGAGGGCCGCTCAGTCTGGGCAGCTTCTCTGGGTCTTGCGACCAAAGCATCATGAGCCTCTTCTTAACCGAATATTTGTGCTCAAAGCCACTAGCAGCGATACTTCAATGTGACTTCTTTCGTCCCAGGGGTGGCAAGAGATTGCCTTTGCGGCCTATCTGGACGGTCTCTTGTATGCATTTCTGGTTTGATGACATGTCAACCGAAGCCTTCAGCAGACAGCTTTGCAAGATCCTGGAACAAGGTCAGAACCCTCGCTATTCGCATACGTTTCGGGATGAGTCATTTATGTCCACGGCGAAAGCAATCGCTCAAGTTTGTCACAGAAAGACGCTTGAAAGCTCTTTCTTGAAACGTTACTACATCGAGAGCTGAAGCAAAATGGGCATCCGATTGCATGTGCTGTTTAACAACATCGTCAGAATGGAATTACGACACATGTTGATCTCCAGCCCGGTCTTTGGGGAAAGTGCCTTGTCTGAAGTACCTTTGGAGCCTCTGGGTAGTTGTATCTATCGTACGAAACTCGTAAGGGTGTAGCCCCGAAGCCCCTTCTGATCCTCTAGGCTGGTTGCAGGTGTTAGGGTTGTGCTTTCGGGCTTGTTCGGTGATAAATGAGCCCACACGGATCGTCACGAGGATTGGGCTCATGGTCCCTAAGCTCTATAAACCCCTTCCATCGCCTCTGTTGGTAAAGAGGTTGGGTGTGTGTTCTTGGAGTTCGAGGGTTTGGAATCGGAGCTTTCGGGTGTAATATAGGGGCTTAAACAACTATCAATATTTTGGGGGGTTCCTTATGACAATTATAGTAAAATCTATCCCCAAACCCTGTTGTAATTGTTAACGCCCCTTCCATCGCCTCTGTTGGTAAAGAGGTTGGGTGTGTGTTCTTGGAGTTCGAGGGTTTGGAATCGGAGCTTTCGGGTGTAATATAGGGGCTTAAACAACTATCAATATTTTGGGGGGTTCCTTATGACAATTATAGTAAAATCTATCCCCAAACCCTGTTGTAATTGTTAACGCCCCTACAGTAGCTTTCATTATTGGGCGCATCCGAACCAAGCAAGCGCAGAATTCTACGGCTGAGCTGCTTCTGTGCAGCTGCGGTGCGGTTTAGAGTGTTATTGTTTAGGGTTCAGGGCGATGGAATCAGAGGTGAATCCCACGGTGATATTGATAATGCTTTCGGGTGGCATCAAACACACGAACCCTTTCGTGTGGGTTTCCTGTCTGGGTCCTGGTATAAAGTACCCACTTGCAAAAGAATCGAGTGATTCAGTCCACTACACTGTAAACCCTAAACCCTAAACCCTAAACCCTAAACCCTAAACCCTAAACCCTTGCTTGCCTGCGAGGCTCGAGGGCTGAGGCCTTCGCAATTTTGACCATTGGGCCTGATCGAGGGCTTCGGGTCCACTGGGTCGGAATGACTCGCAATACTGTTCCTTGAGCTTCCTGGTTAGGCCGTAAGTATATTGTATTACGCTCCTAAGCCCTATGCAAAATCTGAGAGCATACATGGGACAACTACCCATATATATATATATATATATATATTAATACTGATATTAATATTAATATTAATATTAATATTAATATTAATATTAATATTAATATTTATATTTATATTAATATTAGTATTAATATTAATATTAATATATGAATATTAATATATTGATATATTAATATATTAATATATTAATATATTAATATATTAATATATTAATGTACTAATATATTAATATGTTAATATGTTAATATATTAATATACTAATATATTAATATATTAATATATTAAAATATTAATATGTTAATATGTTAATATGTTAATATATTAATATATTAATATATTAATGTATCAATATACTAATAATAATAATGATAATAATAAGAAGAATAATGATAATAATACAAATAGTAATCGTAATAATAATACTAACAATATATATATATATATATATATATATATATGGGCAGTCCTGGAACATCCTGGCAAGCTAACCCAGGCTCTGTTGGCAGTTTCGGAACGCCAAGATTGGCCACCTGCACTCGTTCACCAGCGTGGCTGGGCTCGGAATCATCGGAAGTACATACAAGTTTAGCATACGGATTCTAATAGGGTTTAGGTGTAGGGTTCAGGGCTGTTGGGCTTTAGGGCTTGTAGTGTTTGGGATCGAGGGTTTGGGGTATGTAAGCCTGAATTTTCTGAGGTTCCATTAAAGTTTTCTAAAAGCCCTACTAAAGTTTCCTGTTCCTGTGGGAGGGTCATCTACGGGTTCCCTAAGCGGTTTAGTGCGGAGTTTGGGCATTGTTGGCAAATATGGCTTGGATGTTCATTTCGACTGTTAAAGAATGTGGAGTTATCGATAACTGGGGTCAGCTTATTTGGGGATGGTCTTTGTATTCAAGGATACTGCTAAGGTACTGGTATCATACAAATGTGACGGCTATGATTCAGCTATTACGGACAATGCAGTAATTGCTCCTTCATACTCGCAGGGCGACTGCCAGTATCTCCACGCCGCATTCTGTTCAAAGTTTAACTGCCCCTTATCAGGCGTTCATTAGCTGGGATGGTAAAGACGAGTAGCAGGGTTGTGAGGCTTTAGTGCTTCGGCCTGCGGACGAGTGTCCTTGCGATACCAAGGATGCCGAATCCTAGATCCCTGTTGAAGTTACTCCTGACAGCCGCACCTGCGCCGAAATCCGAAGCCCCGGAACACCAAATAAGCCCCACCCACAAGCAAGATAAGCCGCTGCATCGGCCACGAATCCGAATTCATGTTGCGGAGTTCTGCCACACCTGGCCGCATTCCTTGCCTTTCGTTAGTAAGGAATGGAGGAATGGGGTATAATTATAAGTACTATTACTACCATTCTTCCATTCCCTAATTACTAGAAAACCTGATAGGGGCCACGAACCCGAATGCAGACACGCGTGACGCAGATATCGCATCCCCTAAGCTTTAGGGGAGGCGATATCCCCCTTAGCTTTACGGATTCAGAGCGCCGTCGGGACGCGCGTCTGTGGAGTTTCCCATTAACAGCGCGAGCGTCCTGTGGAGTTCCCCCTCCCTTAGCTTGACGGATTCAGAGCGACACCTCTCGTCGGGACGCGCGTTCTGTGGAGTTCCCCATTGTAACAGCGGAACACGCCTCCTGTGGAGTTCTCGCTTAGCTTGACGGATTCAGAACGCCGCAGGAACACGCCTCCCGTGGAGTCCCACCGTAGCTTGACGGATTCAAAACGCGCGCGACTCGCGCGTTCTGCGGAGTTCCCCCTTAACAGCGCGAACGTCCTCCAAGGATACCCCTTAGCTTGCAAGCTGCCGGAACACGCCTCCTGTGGAGTTCTCCCTTAGCTTGACGGATTCAGAACGCCGTCGGGACGCGCCGCCGGGACGCTGCCAGAACACGCCTCCTGTGGAGTTCCCCCTTATAGCTTGACGGATTCAGAACGCCGCCGGGACGCTGCCGGAACACGCCTCCTGTGGAGTTCCCCCTTAGCTTGACGGATTCAGAACGCCGTGGGGACGCGCGTTCGACGCTGCCGGAACACGCCTCCTGTGGAGTTCCTCCTTAGCTTGACGGATTCAGAACCGCCGGAACAGGATTCAGAACGCAGTCGGGACGCGCGTTCCTCCTGTGGAGCTCCGCCTTAAGTTGACGGATTCAGAACGCCGTCGGGACGCGCTGCCGGGACGCTGCCGGAAGACGCCTCCTGTGGAGTTCCCCCTTAGCTTGACGGATTCAGAACGCCGCCGGGACGCGCCGCCGGAACACGCCTCCTGTGGAGATCCCCCTTAGCTTGACGGATTCAGAACGCGGATTCAGCACGCCGTCGGGACGCGCCGCCGGGACGCTGCCGGAACACGCCTCCTGTGGAGTTCCCCCTTAGCTTGACGGATTCAGAACGCGGATTCAGCACGCCGTCGGGATGTGCCGCCGGGACGCTGGCGGAACACGCCTCCTGTGGAGTTCCCCCTTAGCTTCACGGATTTAGAACGCCGTCGGGACGCGCCGCCGGGACGCTGCCGGAACACGCCTCATGTGGAGTTGAAGACGCCTCCGGTGGAGTTCCACCTTAGCTTGACGGATTCAGAACGCAGGCGGGACGCGGGTTCTGTGGAGTTTCCCCTTAACAGCGGTGCGCGACACGCCTCGCGTCACGCGCGGACGCTTGCGGACGCTTTGCGAACGCTTTGCGGACGCTTTAACAACGATCGCTGGTCACCTGCTGGACCCCTGGACCCCAACCTTTAAAACGGGAACCCTTCTGCAGAGCATTCGAAAAGGTAAACCCAATTCCCTAAACCCTATAGCCCTATAGATCCCTGCATTCTAGGTGACGAGTTCGTCTTTCTTTGCAACGTTCCTGGGGTCTGGGGCCGATACACTGACGGACGGGTGCTCTTCAACAACGGCGCCTTTGCTGTAAAGGGTTTATGGCTTAGGGTTTATATAGAGCGTTGCGATTCAATGCTGTCGGGTTTGAGGTGAGGGGTTTACTTCAGAGAGAAAACTTGAAGGCCCATGGGACTTAGTAAGTAAGGTTATAAGTAGGTTGTAATTAGCATATCCCCACTGAGGGGACTTAGAACCCTAGTCATCACCTAGATACGAAGTCCCATGATCCCTCTTATAAAACCCTTCTAAATCCCTTTAAGGAACCCAGTAAGGAGCCCTTAGGGGGCCCCTTAATAAGGAACCTTACTTCCCTTACGGTTTTCAGTTTCAGGTCTCTTATTGCAGGGGTTTCGGGGTTTGCGGCTAAGGTTTCGGACTGTTCGCATTAGAGTTCGAGCTTGGGGCGGAGGTTAGTTAGAGCTTCAAGCTCTTGGGCTTCCCATACTTGAATACCTTTTTTTTGGGCACCTGTTCCTTTAAGAACCGTTATGAAATAACAGTCTATACTTTTTTCTCCGGGCTGGTTACTTCAAAGTCCAGGCTTGCATGTACCGGATACTTGCAAGTTAGCCCTTCAAGAACGGAAATCCAACGCTTGAAGTCAACATCAGCAGCTGAGAAAGGCTTGCAGTTTCAGATCCGTGGGGGGAAGTTTCAACATAGCCCTCTTTGATTCCTATATCTGACTTCTCATAGGGGCTCATGTGCCCCATACATGGGATGCTTAGACTTTTTGCCTTTGGAGTATGGGTGCTTTGGGTCTTAAGGCCATGGTCCAACTCGGCTTGCAAAGGGTTGAGGTTCAGGAGCACCACCAAGAATACACCAAAACTCTAAACTTTGAATCGGCGTTGGGTGTATTGTGTTTTTGAGATGGGGTTAGACGGTTAGGCGTAACACCATGTGCATTGCTTAGGGTTGGATGTACGGGTCTATGGGTGAAGCGTCTGCATCTGCATCAAGGTGCGTCGGTGCGTTGCCTGAGTGCTTTCCAAGAAGGACCTTATAGATCTTGTTAACCTAGTTCCGCAGCCCAGCCAGCGGTTGAGGGATGGGTAAAGTGAGGTGGTTGACGCATGAATGTCCTGCTTCTAAATGTCTTTGACTGCCCGATGCTGTTGTCAGAACTCTACGCAAGTGCAGACTCCTTGTAGACTCTTCAAGCAAAAACCCCCAACCCTGCATTTCAGTATAACTCCCAGCGCTCGAACCACGGGTTTAGAATTTGAAGAGTATCCTGAATGTTGTTGCTCTGACCCTCAACCCCAAACCCTAAACCCCTCCGTAACCCCCGATGTTTCGCCGTGCCTTTCAGGGTCCCAAAACTGAGCCTGGAACGCCTGCCGCAGGTACAGTGTGGCAGAGCATCCGAGGGCCATATGCAGATCAAAAAGTCGCGTGATGCTCCGGGTGATGCAGGATGCAGACCATCGGCTCAGACATCCTTGAAATCCCAAGCCTTAAACCCCTAAACTTTTGACCCTATTCTCGGTGTCAATGACACTCGCAATAACTGGTTCGTGAGTAAAAAGGACGTACCTGCACCAACTGGTGAAAAGTGTCTTGGTAAGCGGGGTTTGTTTAGTCTACACGCCACAGCCGAAAGGCATGTTTGTGTTGGATGTCCTTTGAGTTCGAACCCCTCAACCATGTTCTCCTGACCTCTCAAGCCTTGTCCCTTCTCTGGAAAGTGTTCGGTAAGCCAATATGAATCTAAATTACATGTAGAAGCCCAGAAATGGCCCAGAAAGCCTGCGCCGCAATGCTCAAGAGCCCCACCCCAATTGTCCAAGTGCCCAACAATTGAGGGTTCAATGTTCAGTGTTAGTGTTTGGGGTTGAGGGGCTTCGGGTTCGCATCGAGTTTTCGCACCAACGACAGCGCTTAAGCTAGGTTGCACTCTACCGGATACCCTGGTAGTCCGCCTTAGTGTGCCCAAGAGACTGGGTTATACTAAATCTTTCGTTCTATTGATTTCGTGGGAATCAAGTGATTCCTACGATTTCGGCAGGAGGCTGTTCTACAGAATTGGAATCACGAATCCGTTGCAGAATCTGTGCGAACCAATAGATTATGCGTACAGATTTTTCGTCGCAAATGCGCACCAGAATTCGTGGGATTCCGTACAGCCCGGGGCTGCAGAATTCGACAGATTTCTCTCAGATTCTGCAGACAGCCGGCGGCCAGACTTCGACCAAACTTCCGCCCCCCCATGGCCGAAACTTCCGCTCGATTTTTCGCGCCTCAATGCACTGTTTTCTCTTCTTGTTCCTGGTATATACTGTGCTGATACTTGATGATGCTGCTGCTGCTGGTTGCTGCTGCGGCTTCTGTTTGCTGCTGTTGCTGGCTGTTGTCGCTGCTGGCTGCTGGCTGCTGCTGTTGCTGGCTGCTGCTGCACCTGCTGCTGTTGCTGTGCTGTTGCTGGTGCTGCTGCCACCACAACAACAACAAGACCGCCACCATCCTCCGCCCCCAACCCCCACCACCACCCCACCACCACCACCACCACCACCACCACCACCACCACCACCACCACCAACAACGATAAGAAGAACACCGCCAACAGCTCAACAAACCACAGCCACAGCGACAACCACAACCAAAATAACAACCACAACCACAACCACACCCACAGCCACAGCCAAAGCCACAGCCAAAGCCAAAGCCAAAGGCAAAGCCACAACAACAGCAACAACAGCAACAACAACGACAACAGCGACGACGACGGCACCACCAACAACAATAACAATACCACCACAACAAACAAAACAACCACAACCACACAACCGCAACCAAAGCCGCAGCAACCACGACCACAAGAACAACACCAGCCGCAGCAGCAGCGGCAAGAGCAACAGCATCAAACAACAACACCAGCAGCAACAACAAACACCACCACCACCACCACCACCCCCACCACCAGCAACAACAATAGCAACAGCAACAGCAGCAGCAACCGCAACCACAACCACAACCACAACAACACCAGCGAACACAGCGACGAAAACAAAAACAGCAACAACAGCAGCTTCAGCAGTATAATAAGTCGTGTGTAGTGAATGTAGTGCAGTGTGGCGCTTGTAGTGTCGCGTAGTGTTGTGTGGTTAGCAGCAGTAGTAGCAGTAGTAGTAGTAGTAGTAGTAGCAGCAGTACTCCACTTCCCTCTTCTACTTTCTTTTCGTTTGCCGTCTACAGGGAGGGTTGGTGGTGAGACAACCCAGCGGCAGAAAGAAAGTACACGTAGTAGTAGTAGTAGTAGTAGTAGTAGTAGTGGTAGTAGTAGTAGTAGTAGTAGTAGTAGTAGTAGTAGTAGTAGTAGGTATTAGTAGTAGTAGTAGTAGTAGTAGTAGTAGTAGTAGTAGTAGTAGTTGTGGTAGTAGTAGTAGTAGTAGTGGTAGTAGCAGTGGTAGTAGTAGTAGTAGTAGTGGTAGTAGTAGTAGTAGTAGTACTAGTAGTAGTACTTCACTTCCCTCTTCTACTTTCTTTTCGTCTGCCGTCTACAGGGAGGGTTGGTGGTGAGACAACCCGGCGGCAGAAAGAAGTAGTAGTAGTAGTAGTAGGTATTATTAGTAGTAGTAGTAGTAGTAGTAGTAGTAGTGGTGGTAGTAATAGTAGTAGTAGTAGTAGTAGTAGTAGTAGTAGTAGTAGTAGTAGTAGTAGTAGTAGTAGTAGTAGTAGTAGTAGTTGTGGTAGTAGTAGTAGTAGTAGTGGTAGTAGCAGTGGTAGTAGTAGTAGTAGTAGTAGTTGTTGTAGTAGTAGTAGTAGTACTTCACTTCCCTCTTCTACTTTCTTTTCGTCTGCCGTCTACAGGGAGGGTTGGTGGTGAGACAACCCGGTGGCAGAAAGACTTTACACGTAGTAGTAGTACGTAATAGTAGTAGGTATTAGTAGTAGTAGTAGTAGTAGTAGTAGTAGTAGTAGTAGTAGTAGTAGTAGTAGTAGTAGGCACCCCCCCTACCAATTACACTTGCTCTTACCCATGTTAAGACGACATCCATTTTACTCGGTATTTACAGCACTTTCGTCATGTGCGATCATCATAATAGACCTCAAAATCGACTTGTCGAGTTTGCAAACTCGGGCTCTTGATTTTGGACTTGCTGGGGGGGGGGGTGGGGGGGTGAGGGGGGGGGATGATGACGACACTGTTACGCGAACACACCCAGCAGTATCACCACAAGAGCCGTTTTACTCGGTATTTACGGTACTTTCGTCATGCCACACTCTGCTACATATTCTGAGCCCCTACTTCTCGACTATGCGTCTTAAACTTTGCCGTTTCGAACTGTTTGCAAAAAACTCGAAATTAGGTGGGGGAAAGCTTTTTCGGGTATCTCCCAGGGTTTCTGCGCGCTTTACACACCCCCTAAAACTTACACCAAACCAAAACCCAAACCACCACACAAAAACAAAAACAACTCCCTGTCGCTCAGGTCCGGACCTTAGGGGTGGTGGTGAACCCCTTCTGCGGGAGAGCTGGCTTTGCAGGGTTTAGGTTCGGGGTTTACGGTCTTGTGTGAACCGCTTCAGTTCTGCTGCAGGTTTTCCCACAGATCGCCGGCCTAGGTCTAGTACCGACTGCTGTGTACATTCATTTAACACTTCTCCAACATGTCATCTTCCCAAGATGTTGCAGTCACAGCTTCTTCCAACATGTGCAAGCATGGTGTTTCCTCGGGCTAAAGGGCTTGTTTGCAGTGAATGCCATGGCAAAGAAAAAGTGGACGCATCCTCGTGCTTTGAAGAAAGGGACTCTTTGTTTGCAGGGAACCAAAAGCTGTCGTGGAGGTGGCAGCTCCAAGAACTACCCTGCCTACACTCCGTCAAGTCAGAAGGATCCCCCGGAAGCACGCAGAGGTCGTGAGAAACTGGCTCTGACTGGTGAGGCTCTTCGCAAGCTTTCTTCAAGGAAGTTGTTGACTCACTTACAGCAGCTAGGACACGTTCCACGACTGGTCAAAGGAGGTCCGTGTCTTTACTGTGGCAAGCCTCTGTCAAACAAGGGGTGCCCGCCATTGCCTGTCATTTTGGCAGGCACTGGAGCGAAATATTTTAGGTGCACAATCAGGCCGTGCAATCGACAACAGCATGTTCTCACGGCGAGCCCGGTCTTCAGCACAGGGCGCGGCGAGGATGTGCTGCCTTTGCGAACGCAGGTGCTTCTGCTCTGGCACATAGCCTGGAGGACTCCTTTGCGGCAGATCCGGGCAGAGTTGGGCATGAACGACAAAAGGATTGCCGCCGCGCAGAGCAAATGGCGATCCGCTCTTGCTGACTACGTGCAGGAGATGCAATGCAAGACCCAGGGTGGTGACTACAAGGAGGTAGAAGCGGACGAGTGCGTTGTCAGGAAGCAGTTTGTGGCGGACCAAGTGGCCTGGCAGGGTTGGGTAGGCTCCAAAGAACGAGGAATCAAACGTTCTCTCGTGCTGGAGAAAAGGCCGTTCGAACGTTCCTTGAGCAAGCGGAAGAAGACCGGCTTTGCGTGCCCGCCTCCGCTCAGCTGTGAGGAATGGAAGTCATACTGTACGAAACATGTGGCATCTCAGACCATTCTTCATGTTGACGGGGCCCAAGCCTATGCGACCCAGGTTGATGACAAGGAGATCAGACGCGATACTGTTTCCCACTCGAACAAGAAGGGCGGACCCTTCTTCGTGAAAGCCTGCGACCACAAGGGAGTCAATGGCCGCACTAAGAAGACTTGTGCAGGAACGCAGGCCATGGATGGCTACTGGCAGCACTTGAAGCGCTCATGTCATGGTGTCAATGCCAGATACCCTGACAAATGTGATGATCACATCAGGGAATCCCAGTGGCACTCTTGGCTTGGTAGCGAGGACCCTTGGGAAGCCATGGGCCGTGTGTTGCGCAAACTTCGTGAGCGGTCAGAGCTTGTCAAAAAAACGCAGAGGGGGTGCCGCCGCTGCTGCACGCAGAGTTGAACTTGTTTGAGTTTCCACTAGTGTTGCCCCTCAGACTTCTTCAAGCCTGCAGCCACCTTTTGTCGCAGTTTTGTTTGGCTCCCAGGGATGGAGTCAACCCCCCCCCGTAGGAGACGTAGGTCGCGCTCACGCAGTGTCTTGTCGGTCAGGTCTGATGGCTTAGAGCTTCAGGCTTGGACTCCTTTGTCAGTGGCATCAAGTGCCGCAGAGGAGCAACGTGCTACTACGTCTTCTCGTGCAGTGGAGCAGTGTGCTACTACGTCCTCTGGTGCAGTCAAGGTGCAGCAACGTGCTACTACGTCCTCTGGTGCAGTGCAGGTGCATGGAGCAACGTGCTACTACGTCCTCTGGTGCAGTGCAGGTGGAGCAACGTGCTACTACGTCCTCTGCAGCTCTGGAGACTCCCGCGGTGCTTGCTACTTTGGCACAGAGTCATGGCGCAGAGGGCTTGCCAGTTACACTGGGTTTGCTTCCGCTTCGTGTCCGCCAACTTCCAGCTGTGATTTTGCCATGTACATTTCCTTCTCTCCTAGCCGAAGAGAAGTTTTACAAGGCAGTCATTGCTGCAGCTAGTTTGACGAGCTCTGCCAAGACGCTGAATGGCCTTCAGGCCAGGGCTTTCGAAGCTTGCTGCAAGCTGGCACGGCAGGAAGCGGATGTGCTCCGTGCATGCGATATGCACGACAAGGCTGACATCTGGTTAAAGGCTGTGGCGAGGGCCGGTGCTGCCAGGAGGAACATTAGCCACTTTGGTCGAGCTTTTCGACTGTCGGACTTGAGAAGTTCTGAGCAGACCACGGCCCCACGACAGACTTTACTTCAGTTTGCAGCTCTGCCACCACCGGCGCTCGTAGCTGCTGTTGAGCGAGACCTTGTCGATGCAGCAGGACGACTGCCGGAGCAGTCCTTCTGCGACATGCTCTTGGATGCGTTGCAATACCTCTCGGGCCACGAACTTGTTTGGCTTAGCCGTGAACAGGTTGAACGACAGGTCACTGCAGAAGTTTCCGAAGTCTTGGACGAGGTGCTCGGTGCACTGCTTTCTTTAGGGCTCGTGAAGGTATCTGGTGATGGCCAGATACGATTGGAGCCGAAAGTGCTTCAGTGACTCTGGACAGGTCCGCTCCCTCAAAACACGCGTCAGCCGATGCAAGGGCCAAGGGTTCCCCACAGTTGCTGCTACAGCTCATGTTGGTGCTGAAATGTGTTTGATTTTTGGTGATGTTGCTGATGAGATGTGTTTGATTTTTGGTGATGTTGGTGATGAAAGGTGTTTGAGTTGACGTGATGTTGGTGATGAGATGTGTTTGATTTTCGGTGATGTTGGTGATGAATGTGTTTGAGTTGACGTGATGTTGGTGATGAGATGTGTTTGATTTTTGGTGATGTTGGTGATGAAAGGTGTTTGAGTTGACGTGATGTTGGTGATGAGATGTGTTTGATTTGCGGTGATGTTGGTGATGAGATGTGTTTGATTTTTGGTGATGTTGGTGATGAGATGTGTTTGATTTTTGGTGATGCTGGTGATGAAAGGTGTTTGAGTTGACGTGATGTTGGTGATGAGATGTGTTTGATTTTTGGTGATGTTGGTGATGAGATGTGTTTGATTTTTGGTGATGCTGGTGATGAAAGGTGTTTGAGTTGACGTGATGTTGGTGATGAGATGTGTTTGATTTTTGGTGATGTTGGTGATGAGATGTGTTTGATTTTTGGTGATGCTGGTGATGAAAGGTGTTTGAGTTGACGTGATGTTGGTGATGAGATGTGTTTGATTTTTGGTGATGTTGGTGATGAGATGTGTTTGATTTTTGGTGATGCTGGTGATGAAAGGTGTTTGAGTTGACGTGATGTTGGTGATGAGATGTGTTTGATTTTTGGTGATGTTGGTGATGAGATGTGTTTGATTTTTGGTGATGCTGGTGATGAAAGGTGTTTGAGTTGACGTGATGTTGGTGATGAGATGTGTTTGATTTTTGGTGATGTTGGTGATGAGATGTGTTTGATTTTTGGTGATGTTGGTGATGACATGTGCTGATGTTAGTGACGATGATGTTGACAGTTATGACGAAGTGTAGTTGGTAGGGGGGGTGGCTAGTAGTAGTAGTAGTAGTAGTAGTAGTAGTAGTAGTAGTAGTAGTAGTAGTAGTAGTAGTAGTAGTAGTAGTAGTAGGTATTAGTAGTAGTAGTAGTAGTAGTAGTAGTAGTAGTAGTAGTAGTAGTAGTAGTACTTCACTTCCCTCTTCTACTTTCTGTTCGTCTGCCGTCTACAGGGAGGGTTGGTGGTGAGACAACCCGTCCGCACATGAAAAGAAAGTACACGTCGTAGTCGTAGCAGTCGTGGTAGTAGTAGTAGTAGTAGCAGTAGTAGCAGTAGTACTAGTTCCAATCTCGTAGACTGATATACGGATCTTGCGATCACGACCGAGGCCGAACAAAAGCACACCAGCTTCGGGTGCAAGCCTCGGGCCCGATACGGGGTTACCATGGGATCTTTATACAAAAAGAATCCTAAACCGTGGAGCCCTGAGCCCCTAGGCCCTAAATCACAAACCCTCCAAGCCTTGTGCTTTTTGGCCGCAATCGAATGCCTTTCTATCCTAGGCTATCGACCCTTCCCTTAAGCGAACCCCCGAGTAGCACGGCATTCAGGGTTAGGGTTTGAGGGTTTAAAACTGAAAGTGTTGAGGAGCCTGCCATGATAAGAGCTTATCCGAGTTTTTCCCAAGCCTTTACAGTCCCCATCGGGTCTTAAACCCCACAAGTCCAACATCCTCGGCCCCGAAAAACCTTCAAAGGTTGAAACCTTTTGTCCCGTAAACCCGATTCTTAAAACCAAGGTGGCTTCCAGGCTCTTGATGTTTTTTGGGGTTATTGCAGAAGGGTTGTTGGGGATGGAGATTTCGGGCTCTCAGGGCTTTGAGATGTAAGTCCTGGCTTTTGGTGGTTTCAGGTCGACTCAGTTTAGGGTGTGGCGCTTTTGCCGTTTAAGGGGCTTTATAATGGCTTGCATAGTGCTTCTTATTAGACGATGACGACTGCTACGATATCACCACTATTTTCCCAAAGTGTTGATCACATATACATATTCCATATATATATATATATATATTTTTTTTTATATGCATATCCTACTGCTACCAGAGAACCAGTCGTACTACCACTGCTACTATATTGCTACTTACTATACTGCTACTCTACTAGTAGTGCTGCTAATACTACTGCTGCTGCTGCAAAACACTAGCTACTGCTCTTGGGTATACTGATATACTCCTATAGTGCAAACCTTAACCCTGGAACCCTAAGCCCTCAACTCTAAACCCCTAAACCCTACCACCATCACCGCCCCAAGCCCTAAACCTACTTCCCAGGGCGACAAAGGCCACGGTGGCAGAAGACGACGGGGAGCAAGCATTGTCCTTCAGAAGAGAGTCGTTGTGGCCAAGGGCTCCGGATTTTATGGTTTAATGTTTTGTGGTCCAGGGGTTGTAGGGTTTAGAATCGTAAAGGTTCAGGGGTTTGAAGCTTGTGGGGTTTAGGGTTCGGGGGCTTCCAGCTTTAAGGTTTAAGGTATTAGGGTTTACAAGCTTTTAGGGTTTTGGCTTTGGGGGAGTTGTGTCCCTACCTTCGGATACCGAGGTTTAAGGGTTGTGGGTTTGTATACAGGAAGAAACAGCGGTTCAGAGTTGATTGTTTCGTACAAATATGTATATACAATTATACATATACATTTATGCATATACACATATATACATCTATATACATATATATATATATATACACACACAAATTGTAAACATATACAAACCCATACTTGGAAAGAAAGCCACAACCCCTCGCTCCTCCCAGCACAATCGCCAGGAGTGGAGGAGGCTTCGGAAGCTTCTGGCCAAAGGCTCCGGATTCTAGGGTTTAATGTCTTGTGGTCTAGGGGTTGTGGGGGTGCTAAAGGTTCAGGGTTTCAAGCTTGTGGGGTTTAGGAGTCAGGGGCTTCCAGCTTTAAGGTTTAGGGGTTTAGGGTTTATAAGCTTTTAGGGTTTAGGGTTTGTGGGGGTTGTGTGAAAGGTTTTGTGGTCTAGGGGTTTAGAGTCGCAAAGGTTCAGGGTTTGAAGCTTGTGCGGTTTAGGGTCTAGGCTTTATAAGCTTTTAGGGTTTAGGGGTTCGAAGGTTCAGGGCTTTCGGGTCTATAAGTTGTTAGTAGGTTTCAGGGTGCAGGGTTGCAGTGTTCGAATGGCAGATTTAGTTTTCCACAAACACTGGTGTGGCATTCTGGGGTTTAGGATTTAAGACCGGTCCACGAAGCTGTGACTTCAAAGTTTAAAACCCTGTAATCCTACTTAGAACACATTTATTTATTATAAAACCCTGGGATTCGTATGTTTGTGCTTCGGCCTCAAAAAATGGCCTTGCTAAAGTAGAAGGGAACCCGAGAACTGTATGGTACCAGGGCTAATTGTTTCTTGTCCTACACCTGCGAACACTCTTAACACCCAAAAGACTCTGAACCCTCTGGCTATGGCTATATAAACCCTGCAATTCCTAGTCCAGAAGCCATGAACCCTAAACCGCCTCCTATTTCCAAACGCACACAACCCTTAAACCTCTTTCTCCCAAGATATGCACGCAACTCCCCCAAACCCTAAACCCTTTAGCTTGTAAGCCCCTACGACCCCAAACCATCATCAATTTAAAACACCCGAACCCTAACCCCAAATGATTATGACAGCTGTTCGAGCATGTGTAAGTGCTGCTGTTCGCAAAGGCGACTGACATCATAGATGCGAGGCTGCGTTCGCTTGGGGCCCAGGACATCACAGTGTTTATTTCGGGGTTGTGGGTTGAGGCCTAGCTGAGCGATATGTGGCCGGGACCAACGGAGATGCTTATACATAGGTTGGATGCAGGCTACGAGTTGTGGTGCTGTGGGAAAAAGCCAACAACAAACCATAGTTTGTGGGTTGGATCGTGGAAATCAGGGCCTTGTTTCTGGGATTGAAGTTTGG